CTGTCTTAAAGATCAATTATAACCCTTATGTAATCAATCAAAGACTTGTTTGCATTGACAGAAAGGAGTTGAGACAAGGGGAATTAGTACCATTTGGATTATTTGAGGAGAATACAAAATACATAAATCCACAAAACAAAACAAAAAACAAATATAAAGCAGCATGTTCGATGCAGGTAAAAAATATGCGCCTTATTGTGGCTTGCGGCATACCTGCCCTGTTTTGAGTGGACAGTTGAGTTGCCTTTGCGTGTGTTTGTTCCGCTTTGTTGCCTCTATTCATAAAATCTGTTCTTGTTAAATTGTGCACACGTGTCTGTATCACCTATGTGTATCTTAGGGTTGCTTGGGGATGAGAGAGTTACATGTACTTATCAACTGTTCAATTCTAATGTTCAATGTTGCGCTGAATTTCAACGCACTTCGCAAAGTTAGGTTAAACACAGCCTCCCGCAGGACAGACCAAGGTAATTTTTTAACCGAGTGAGAGCACCCAGTCATAACAGTTGCGAATCCGGTCCAAGTATATACTACTGTCGCAAGTAATTCTGATGTTTGCAATGTCAATATATAATTGGTCTTACTATTTAATATTATGCAATATCAACAAAAGAGAACGACCTTTTTATTATCTGTTGAAACAGACACCACTGGTTGTTATACAAAACATGGTGTTGAATGGTATACGAGTGAATCGCTAAAGAAAATGAAACGTACGAAAAAGAGTAACTGTTGATTCTTTCGAAATGACCTTTGGGACTGGTCGTAACATACAGTGAAAACTACCCACACCTTCCTTTATATGTTCCATGTATGATTGATGGAAGAGGGCAAGTATTCAGAATGACTTAACGTGCCGGTAGCTGCGCCTGTAGTCCGTCCCGTGCATCTTATGATCAGACTGCACGGATGTGTTGGGCATTTCAACAGAAACGAGGGATAATTGGTTTGCACAGCTCTAAGGGAAAACTTCACGACGATCCCAGGCTATTTGTCTCATCATCCTAGGTATTTCGCTGAGGGATTGTAGCAAGAAAAACATAGCCCTTGTAGGCTTCAGGACGATTTACGCCCCGTGAACTTAAAGCTTAGTCAAACAGGTTGTGCTTGTGGCATTTCGCGGATGCAACCCATGTTGTGCCTTTAACCAACGTTTTGACTCCGCATGACAAAGAATACGTTAAAGTTGTCATTTTTGTCAAACGTTTTTCTCCATACTGTCATCTAAAGAGTATTCAAAACTGCATTGCTGGGAGAGAAATATGTTGGGAAAACAAACAGACATACCTGTCGGCATTTTTTGCAATTCCTGATTGTTCAATGTATTTTAACTTACTTGTAAACGCAGTCAGGCTCCATGTGATTAAAACACCAGATTCAGCAACAATCTTCACGAACGTACTTATGAACCCCTGCCGTTGTTTAAAGGAAACTTTCATGTCACTGTCATTACCATTATATCATTTATGATAAAGAAACATTATTGTTCGGATCTCAGAGCATCATAACGATAGTTTCGTTTATTATCATGCTCAGTATATATCTCAATATATAAGTTACGAATGAATGTTGAATGGCGAAGACATGAAGACAACATGTAAATAAAAGACATAAATCCCTTTCCAAATTCATATAAGTCGATTGCACGATTCCGACTATATTATTGCCGTATGTTTATAATCATTGTCAAATAGCAATGATACCAAGAGAAATTCGTGTAATTCATGAATATGGCAAACCAGAGATTGGAACCATGAACAATAATATTTTTTCAAAGCCAACGTTTTGACTACTAAATAGGGGCAAAATACTTAAAATAGCTCGATACTCGACAGGGTATTGAATTTGAAGTCCATTTTCGGAAAACATTCGCTGAAACAGAAAGTCGTAGTCAGCAAACGCTCACAAACCACAAAACTAAACCATGTTGGGCATGCAGAGTTCATGATCTGTGCTCTTCTTTGATGTATGTAAGAAGGACGGTGTTCCGCATTGTGTACAAGCATAACCTATGGGAAGACATTAGGTAAATGTAAAGGTAGCTCTCACCTTTTCTTAAGCCTTCACTACTCACACTTTGTAGGTCGACCTACGACATATGTACAAACGTTTTCCTAATGAATTATGCCAAATGTCAGACCTTTCGTCATCTTCCGTCGGAAAGTTTATTGACCATAAACAGTGCTCATTGCAAGACACCTTTCACTTGGAAACTTAATAATCTTTTAAATTAATATGCTTTCAAATACCTATTTTCATTCAACTCGAGTTTTGGCTTATTCAAACACCTCACGTTGTATTTTTGAGAAACTGAAATTTTGAATGATTCATTTCCTTTCTAAACATTGTTTGTTATTTCCAGTTGTGATTGTTTTTTCATATGGAAGTTGCCATCGATAAATTGACCCAGGTTAATGGATATCACTTCTGAATGTCATGCAGATATTTTACATGAAGTAGCTGTAAATAATATTATAGCATTCTAATCTGTCTCGGGAGATCATCAAGACGATTATTCCCAGGCGTTTACGTGTCATATTTACTAGTATTCATTTACTATTCTTTACTAACACGCTTCAATTGGTGGGCGTTACAATAGTCCAGTTTGCTGATTAGTGTAACCGCAGTGAAAGATACCTCACAGAAAGAAGAGAGGAAGGGAAGAAAAAGGCGAGACAACAAAACTCCTCGCAGAGCAAATACAGACACTACTTGGCCTCACGATACGCAAACAGCAAGGCATGTCAGCTGGGGAGTAGCTTGACATCAATCTTGTTACCAGTTTCAGAGGGATGTCACATGTCTGTGTGGTCGAATGATCATGGCCGTCCCCGGAAACATACCATCCTTAAGCATTACATGTAAGACATGGGTTTTTTAAATGCAGGTATCTAGAGTGGGTGTGTTATTGTCTGCCGAGTTTAGATGCTGTTCTCTAAAATAATTGTGACCATGCAGTCCGATATATTTAAAAAAATAAATGGCATGTTGAAAACCATGACAACAGAAACACTGCTCGAAAAGGGATGGTTTCCACGTGAGGATACGACCGGATACTCATCTAGAATTCCTCTGATGGGTACCAGGAAGGGTACTGCTGGATAATATTCTTTATTCCTCCATCGGAGAGTACAATAACACGGACAGGCAGAAAACGTACATTAAGTAGGAGAGGTATTTAAAAAGAAGAATACATTAGAGTCATTGGAGCAGCACTGGATTAGATGAGTTTGGTTTTAAGGAAGATATGGAAAATCTACTGAATTTAGACCACCAACTTGTCGGACAAGTACTACACGTGTAAATCAAATTAACATGGGGAAATAGAGGAAACTTTACGGATACACACGTCTTGTTTATAGCATAAAGCAATGTTTCGGTGTAGATTCTTACACCGTTATCAAGCTAAAGGTTCTCAAGTTGTAGCTTGATAACGGTGTAAGAATCTACATGATATATACAAGAAGTTGTTATCCATAAAGTCGTATACTTCATTTTTGAAAATGTGAACTGTTCTGGTCTTCCTAAACCAAAGATTAGCTCAAACTGATAAAAATGAAACATACAATCTTTTTGTATCATATGAAGTATTATTACAGGCGCAAGGCTTCAGTTCAAGAAATTGCAAACGATTATGTTGTAGAAGCAGTTGCATAAGTGAAATGTTTAACTGTTCAGCGCCTTTATAACAAACAGACCATTTATTATTTGCAGGAAGTTGGAAAATTATTGTTCCCAGATACAGGAAAGATAGCATATATCTTGGCATACCATGGTATCGTGTTCTTGTGTAAAAATGAAAATTACGACTATGGTTATTTAAATAATGACTTCATCAACATGAGGCCAACAAAAAAGGTGCAAAGTTTGTCCACGTATCTCTCTCACATGCGCAAAGCTCACGGATCCCGCGCGCGACGAAATACGACCTTGCCCTTGCACTCTTATTCAGACGTTAATCCCTAGTTCCTTTGTTTTAATCCCCGGCTGAAACCATATTTGCTTTATGCCGCCCTTGTATAAAATGAAGATCTGGTGAGAAAAATATATTCCAAGAAACAGACGTTTGGAGCTGTGATGTCCCATTGAAGGCTGTGGCAATTATCGATAGCATAACTTATATTTCTCGACGTGTGATATTTTGGTTGTTACCAATTTGGAATATATAATGTTTACTCTCATCTTGTGTTTGTTTCTTCACGTTGGACTCGGGCAATCACAACATGCATCGCATGCATTCGCCATCGATCTTCAAGGTACGTACCGGTTTACTTTCGTACCAAACGGGTAAATGCAACACAAAGTACGTGTTCTCGACTTATACTGTTTAAACTGGAGTTAGTGTGAAGCCCATTTCTGGTGTTCCCCGCCGTGATGTTGCTGGAATATTGCTAAAAGCGGCGTAAAACCAAACTCAGTCAGTCAGTAAAATGGAGTTAAGAAGTACCCGATTTGAAAATATACTTCAGTTAATACCTCAGAGCTCCTTACGTCCTCTGAGCAGTATAACCGGATCTATGTTGACAAATGTTTCATTATTTATTGTTCTTTGGTTATATTCAGCCTAATTGGAATCGAAGTAATATGTTTAAATACCGTTTTCCACTGCCACCTTGGAACGTATACTACCTAAGATAAAACAGGACATCAAGATGCATGGGTTGCGCATGTCTCTTTATGGTTCCGGGTTATTGTCCGTTTGTTAGTTTTTTAATGTCTTAATGTTCCAGCTGTATAACGGTAGCAAGTATATAATCCAGGCTGGAACACACTCTCCAGTGATAGTTATTCCCAGCACGGATTCGGAAATGAGTGAAGACTTGCTAACAACCAAGCCTGACCACTCAATCCGTTTAGTCGCCTCTTTCTACCAGCATACGTATCTAGGGACCAATTCTAACTCGGAATCATCAAAGGGTCCTGCACCATTAACATCTTGCAATCACTATTTGGGCTATACGTTAAGAAATGTAAGGCATTCTCGTAAAGCAATTCACAAAATGGCGATCAGAAGTATGTAACTAGAGAACTTTTATTTTTGTTTTAAACTGCAGAGTAACACGTTGTATACACGTTTGCAGGTAAATGAATATGAAACAAACAAACAAAAAATGAAATGTTTCATCGACGGTGGTATAGCAGTTACATGTATGACAGGTTATTTTGGACCTTTCGTTTCAGTGTATTTCGGACACGTTTTACAGCATCGTGAAATTGTGTAAAAAGTGTCCAGAAAACTTACAAGTAGACCGTTGTGGTGCTGAATAGGCTTGAACCAATCTCACATACTAACATGAACGATACATTGTATCAATATTTTTATTTAAGTACAAAACATGAACGATACATTGTATCAATATTGTTATTTAAGTAACGATATCAGGCGGCCAGGCTCGCTGACTTGGTTGATGCATGTCGTGATTCAAATGCGTAGAGCGATGCTCATGATGTCAATCACTGGATTGTCTTGTTCAGATTCAGTTATGTAGATGCCTGGAACAGTGCGGCGTTAAACAACAAATACAACATTCCAGCTGTATGATGATAGTTATACATCCAGCCTGAATCAAACTACATCCAAACAGCCTAACACTGTGACACAGGCATAGACATGTTCTTCGATTGGTAAAGATATTCTCAACATGACGTTTGTTGGCATATGTTCAAGTGTCGATACTGTACAGATAAAGCTGACCCTTCAATTATGACAACAACTGTACCACACTAAACAATAGAAACTGTTGCACATTTTCCGACCCATTGTCCACTGAAAGTTGAGGATTACGAACTATAAATGATATGATCGGTCACCAAAATAAGGATTATCTCTCAAAATGACAGAAAATAGAAATGTCAGACATTCTTACGCCCAAACATACTCGAAAATTTGCGCGTGGATGCTGTTTGGGCGGGGGGAGAGGGTTCTTTCTTGATTTTGACACTTCAGTGAAAGGTCGTAAAATAGTTCTGAGCTATCAGTAGAGTGAATTTCATTATCCACAGTAGCACGTAAGATCTGTACGTTTTCTTTCATGCAGTATTTGTTATGAGATTTGGAATGCGTTGTCCACGACGTGTTGTACTCCTTTGGCTAACAACATCCTTCTAAATGGTAAAACACAGCGAGATGTCAGTATTATGTTAAATGTGTCTCGGTCTGTGATTTGCAGACAAAGGAACATGTTTCTGCAGAAACAAAATGATAATGGTCGGGCCCGCGCAGGGTTCCTTACTAATAGTAATAGTCCGCTTATATAGCGCTCATATCCAGGCACATTGCCTGCTCACGGCCCATCGTACATTACTATCCCCGGTCATAGGACACTATCGTACTTTCCGATACTTTTTCAACTCCTTGGGGACCATACAGCCTTAGGACACCAGACCAGTCCGTATTTAAGCTGTATGTAATGAGAAGGAATCACTATGGCTTTCAGAACGTATTGCCCAGGGAAGGGTCACTGGACAGTAGTACCGAGACAACATACTATAGCCAATAGTTTAGCGTTACGAGACGATAGCTTTGTGGAAGGGAAAACTAAATAATGATTTGAAAAATGCTTATTTTACTCAGAGTCTCAAGTTTCAGATCTTAACGGTGAGGAGATAAATCAACGTTACTGGGATTCAAACTCAGAAAAGGAAACTCAGGGCACGTTGTTTATGATCAAATTCAAAATTACTGCATTATAATGTTTTACTTGGACAAGCCTACTCCCGAATTTAATGGATAGCGAAACTTGTCTTGTTATATCCGATCGTTAAAAAATCAATCTTAATTTACCGTCCCCATGACAGCGTTTGCTCGGAGAGCGGGAGGCCGGTGGTTTGATCTTTTGACCGTGTCATTGCAAAAATTGACGTCACACTTGGTACTTGTTGTTTCCCTGCCTTGCGTTCATCATTAAGGGAAACAAAACAAGGACACAGAGTCACACTGTACACATTGTACCCAAGTGGGGAATCGAACCCCGGTCTTCGGCGTGACGAGCGAACGCTTTAACCACTAGGCTACTCCACTGTCCCTTTGAAACAAGAAACCGACCTATATTGTAACACAGAGGTCCTTCCATTGACCATCACAGGAACGGTTTTTCTCTGAATTACAGAGATGTGCGAGGAGTGTGACACGTCGACAGGGTCTGGGTACGTCAACCACCCCAAATACTGCCATCTGTTCATCCACTGCTCCCGAGGGGCCAGCGACAAGCTCAGAGGGGAAGTGAAGGAATGCACAAGAGGGCTTCTGTGGTCTCAGACAGTCAAACAATGCGTTTGGCCGAATGAGTCAGACTGTCCAACAAGTAAGTGCATAACAACATGTAAAAAGGTTTATGTGTTAACAATAAATGCCTTCTGAGACACCAGTATGTGTCTTTTAAAACCCATGTTATCATCAAGGATTAGCTTTAACAATCTTATCCTGTTAGGTAAGGCCACTTTCTATTGGTTTATTACATGTTCCCATCTTAAGTATTAATCTTTAAATCATGTTTCTGTTACATAACTATTTGAATTTAACTTAAAAAGGGTAACCTCATTGTCAGCGACAATTATGTGTCGAAGATTCCTGACCTATTTTTCCAAATTTATAACATCTCAACATCCATAAAGTGTTACACGCTTGTTCCGAAAACCCTATATACGGAAACCCCCCTTTATCCGGACTATTCTTTCAGGGACGTCTACATACATACAGAGGAAAGTATTCTGTTAAAATGGATATGTTAATACCGTTAGTTTTTACAGACAAGTATTAACGGGGTTTCACTTTATTTCATATACATTTCATCCTTCAGATCCTTGTTACAACCAATCCCTGTCATTCCGTGATTTACGGAATTGCAACGGATATTTCACCTGCCCCCGTGCCGCCCGTTTGTTGTACAACTGTTGCCCAACAGATGAACGATTTGACGAATCTCAAGGATTGTGTGTACCAAGCCCTGGTTGTAACGACCCGTGTCTGCCAGGATCTTCAAATACTTCCTCCGAGGCACCAGGTAGGTCCACAACGTCAGTCACAGTAATTACATTCTTCGATGGGTTGTCCCATTTGTTCCTGGCATTGTCGTTAACACAGAAATACCTCTTGTAAGAATGTTCCGGAGGCACGTGTCTGTGGTACGGCACTGTTTTCCGTCATCAAACACCCGTATACCAAGGGCGCGTGTTGCACTTGCATATTATTTGCAGTACAAAAGGCTGCTCAATTATACTGGCTTGACGTCAATAGCGCACCTTTGTGTGAAGTATTTAAAGACCAAAACATGGTCTAATCAATTTACTCTGATGTAAATGGTGCACTCTGCAACAACATCGACCAAGTTGCTAGTGTTTCAACCAGTTGCTGAGTTTTTCAAAAGTGTAATGATGATAATTATATAACTGTACAAGTCAAACCGAGACATGAGTCTCATTAACCTATTCAGACAATGACCTACTTTTCAGCCGATGCGAATTTTCTCGTGTGAAAGTGAAAATAGACATCACAAACAACTATGGATACACTGAATTCCAATTCTTTGTTTCATAAGAAAATGGTATTTACAAATGAATTTTAATTTTAAACTTGAATAACGTCGTATTTCTATATTTTATGGCGATGTGTAGGCAGCATGACCTTAACTAAGACGTCACAGACTGCCCCAGTTTGATGAGGTCGTAAAATGATTCACATGCATTTGGCTCACTGGTTACATCTGTTATATGTTTTTGTGCGCTTATTCGTAGTAGTTCTGTAAAGCACAATGTGATTGATAGAATATTAAGTCCGTACCAGACCGCCCAACTTTCCAAGCGGCAGAGCCTCGTTTTGAGTTTTCCACGATTTCCAGGTTTCTGATTGTCAGAGCTCGCTGTACGACAGAGCACGCTGCACGACAAGTTTGCAAGGATTATAAGGAGCGTAGTGTTGCAATATACAAGTGCTTAGATGTATGAAATAATACTGATTAATTATCATGCATCCAGTTAAATGAATTGGTCTCAAAATTCTGGACTGGTTATTGTACTAAGTTGCGCAATAGAACGGAACCCAGTCAACAGGAAACGAGACTGTTGTGTAATCAATGTTTTGACTTGGTAAGGGTATTGAGTGAATATGCCTTGCGATGAAACATAGTATACAAAATAGTTGCTCTTATTTTCTGTTCCCATGTTGCCTCTATAACTCATGTAAATAGGAGGATGGTACGCCATGATTGTCTAACCCTGACACAGTGAGAAAACACGCCACTGGGCTATCAATCTAAATATATTGATTTACTCGTACATCTCTTGACATTATCAATGCTACATACCTTGACCTTTTATCAAGATATGGTTATTTAGGTGTACTTTCCAGTTACATCTGAAACACAGACATGTATGCTGTAATACAACGATTGTGTGCTGCAAAATGCAAATGCTTCATTATCTTGCAGATGAGATGCATGTTTTGTAACACCACGATGGTGTACTTCCAATTCAAATATCCCGTTACCCCATAGCTGAGAAACATACCTGTATTGTAATACAACGATTGTGTACTGCAAATTGGAAATGTTCCCTTATCTTACAGATAAGATAAGTACATATGTTTTGTAATACAACGGTTGTGTACAGCAGATGCAAACTTTAACTTACCCTGTAGATAAGATATACCCATGTTTTGCAACACATGGACTGTGTACTCAAAATTCAAATGACCCCGTAGATGAGATACTTATGTATTTATTGTTTCACAACGATCGTGTACTGCAGAATGCAAACGGTATCCTCACCCCGAAGACAAACACAAATACATCTGGCAGACTGGGGGTACTAACGCTACCTTCAACTGCGCCCAGGGTACTGCCTTCTCCGTTGACTCCTGCAGCTGCACCGACCCTGTAGACCTGAGAAATATTGGTAAAGTACCCATTTGTATTGCTTCATGTATTACCGCTTTGTGTCTTCTGCCCCAATTGCGCAGATCGATGCTCATGCTGTTGATCACTGGATTGTCTGATCCTGACTCGATTGTTTACAGAACGCCGCCATATAGCTGGAATATTGCTGAGTGCGGCGTAAAACTAAACTCACTCACTCACTTGTGACTTCTGGTGGATTCCCCATTCTCGTGTGATGCCCATTACATGCATCTGGTAACGGTTGTCATAAAGGGGCTGTACCCGGAACAGTAAGTTCATTCAAACGACACGGTTCGTCTATTTCATTCCAAACAATTGCCATTATTTAAAAAAAACCAGTTTCTCAATGCAAACACCGTTAGGTCGATATATGATGTGTCGAAACTACTATTGTCTCGAAGTAAAAGATTGCTACCTTCGTATTGTTTCTTTATTCATATATATTTGTTGGCGGTGTCAAACTTCTGGTTACTGGAAGTATTTACGGAGGCCCCTTCAACTTCGACATAACTGTGTTTGTTTGCATTTTTATTGATTCATTCACTTCTGTATGGGCAATTTGGCCAGGGCGAGAGTTTGATTTTGTCTTTAGCTACAGAGCTACAGAGCTACAGCGCTACAGAGCTACAGAGCTACAACGCCATGATGCTTTGAGTTTACATTTGGTTAATGTTGCACAAGTTTAACTTACACCTTACAGAGACCCGTGAAGGTCCGGGTTAGAATGAGCCTTCAGTAACCCATGCTTGTCGTAAGAGGCGACTAACGGGATCGGGTGGTCAGGCTCGCTGACTTGGTTGTAACATGTCATCGGTTCCCAATTGCGCAGATCGATGCTCATGCTTGTTGATCACTGGATTGTCTTATTCAGACTCGATTATTTACAGACCACCGCCATATAGCTGGAATATTGCTGAGTGCGGCGTAAAACTAAATTCACTCACTCACCTTACAGATGTGGAATGTTAAGAAACATTTCCTTTTAACACTGTGTATCGTTTATCTTATACAGAGAAGTGCGAACCCTACATTTACTTCCCCTTTGATCACAATGTCAAGGACAAGCTTGGACGTACTGCTTCCGGTGGCATTGACTCATGGATTCAACGGTCTGAACCAGCTTCTGTAGGTGGTGGATCTGTATATTTCAATGGCCATCGACAGGTGATCGCCTGGGCTCTCAACAACATGGAGTTCAAATCCAACTTCACGTTATACTTTCGCTTTAAGGCAGACTTCAAACAAAGTCAGAAGGGAGAACGCTTTGCCCTAGTTGATAATAGTGACTGCGAGAAGGAGGCAACCTTTGGGATCGCTTTGTTGCGTTCTGGGCCTAAGACAGGGTCTGTTCATGGAGGCTTCAGGTTGAAGAATGGACAAGCAGTCACCACCAGTTCGAGAGAAATTGTAAGTTGCTAATTCGGTAGATGCAACTGACTGAGTGAATACTTTTTAGCAATACTACAGCAATATCACGGCGTTGTCACTAGAAATAGGCATCACAAGTTGTACCAATGTGGGAAATCGAACCCGGGTCTTCGGCGTGATGAGGGACGCAATATCCCCTAAGCTTACACCCCTCTCAATAATAGTGATTTTAGTTCAACGTCGTTTTGAGCATTATTTCTGCAGTATCACAGAGGAGGGTTTTGGGTTGGGGTTGGGATTGGGCTTAGGGACGGTGTGGTTGTCTATTTGAAAAAGTGTTCTCTCGTACGTCGAAGACCAGAGTTCAATTCCCCACATGGGAACAATATGTGAAACATATTTGTGATTTTTCCACGCCATGATATTGCAGGTGCTCCTTAAACGTGCGTGAAAACCAACTCACTCATGCTATATTAGCTCTAGATGTGGGAGTAGAGCTGTGGGTGTTACCGCACCCATGCTGATAAATCAAGACGAACCGGATTCGAACCCGACATTCATAAATGGTTTTCTTGTACGCCTAAGGAACGGAATATGGCATTTGATATATGTCATTTTGTTATATAGCCATTGAAGCAGATGTTCAACTTTAGCTGCTGTACCATACCATGCTTAAATAAGATTTTTTTTGTCTCGGCAAATGTGCATGAAAAGGTATGTTAAAACCCAAAAGTATCTGACGAGTTTTCTTTATCCATGAATGTGCGTACATTTCACCTCTTCCTGATCTGTAAAATGGCCCGACTCTCAGTTCAATATATGTTTTTGTAGCCCCTGAACATCTGGCACGAGGTGATCCTCCTGAAGAACGGACCAGTGACAGAACTGAGGGTTGATGACGAGGTGTATCCCATTGAGGGAATAGGTAGGTGTCTTCTCCTAATGTTTCACAGAAACACTTGTTCCAGGTAACGTGCAGCTTGAAATTTTGGCCGACTGATACACCCTTATTCTGGTTTAATTTCATTTTGTTTTAATCAGCCTGCACCTTTGAAAGAAGAGTAGCTTGTCCCCAACATATGTACAGGTACACGATAATGATCGAATGTGGTGAAATTCAAATCTGGTTCTTCCAATCATTAACCGTTACATTCTGTGCCAAATGCCGAAACTGCAACCTTATGTATAAGTTTTAATTTTCTTATAGTTTCGTCGGAACAAATGACACCAAAATATGAAACACAATATTTTGTCCTCACATTTACTAGGTCTAGAGGCTGACATTTCCCGTGTGGACTGTTCCATGACGATTGGGAAAGGAACAGGTCTTGTCAACTTCATCGGCTACATTGACGAGGTAAGGACGTTAACACAGTACTGAGGGCTGGGACCGTGGTTGACAGCGACAAGGTGAAGACATGAATATATTAAGGGGAGGGTTGAGGGCTGGGACCGTGGTTGACAGCGACAAGGTGAAGACATGAATATATTAAGGGGAGGGTTGAGGGCTGGGACCGTGGTTGACAGCGACAAGGTGAAGACATGAATATATTAAGGGGAGGGTTGAGGGCTGGGACCGTGGTTGACAGCGACAAGGTGAATTACATGAATATATTAAGGGGAGGGTTGAGGGCTGGGACCGTGGTTGACAGCGACAAGGTGAAGACATGAATATATTAAGGGGAGGGTTGAGGGCTGGGACCGTGGTTGACAGCGACAAGGTAATTACATGAATATATTAAGGGGAGGGTTGAGGGCTGGGACCGTGGTTGACAGCGACAACTGAAGACATGAATATATTAAGGGGAGGGTTGAGGGCTGGGACCGTGGTTGACAGTGACAAGGTGAAGACATGAATATATTAAGGGGAGGGTTGAGGGCTGGGACCGTGGTTGACAGCGACAACGTGAAGACATGAATATATTAAGGGGAGGGTTGAGGGCTGGGACCGTGGTTGACAGCGACAAGGTGAAGACATGAATATATTAAGGGGAGGGTTGAGGGCTGGGACCGTGGTTGACAGCGACAAGGTAATTACATGAATATATTAAGGGAGGGTTGAGGGCTGGGACCGTGGTTGACAGCGACAAGGTGAAGACATGAATATATTAAGGAGGGTTGAGGGCTGGGACCGTGGTTGACAGCGACAACAAGGTGAATTACATGAATATATTAAGGGGAGGGTTGAGGGGGCTGGGACCGTTTGGTTAACAGCGACAAGGTGAAGACATGAATATATTAAGGGAGGGTTGAGGGCTGGGACCGTGGTTGACAGCGACAAGGTGAAGACATGAATATATTAAGGGGAGGGTTGAGGGCTGGGATATTTGGTTAACAGCCACGACAAGGTGAAGACATGAATATATTAAAGGGAGGGTTGAGGGCTGGGACCGTGGTTGACAGCGACAAAGGTAATATGACATATATATAAGGGGAGGGTTGAGGGCTGGGACCGTGGTTGACAGTTACAAGGTGAAGACATGAATATATTAAGGGGAGGGTTGAGGGCTGGGACCGTGGTTGACAGCGACAAGGTAAATACATGAATATATTAAGGGGAGGGTTGAGGGCTGGGATATTTGGTTAACAGCGACAAGGTGAAGACATGAATATATTAAGGGGAGCGTTGAGGGCTGGGACCGTGGTTGACAGCGACAAGGTGAAAACATGAATATATTAAGGGGAGCGTTGAGGGCTGGGATATTTGGTTAACAGCCAGCGACAAGGTGAAGACATGAATATATTAAGGGGAGGGTTGAGGGCTTGGTTGGCAGTTACAAGGTGAAGGAATATATTAAGGGGGGAGGGTTGAGGGCTGGGACCGTGGTTGACAGCGACAAGGTGAAGACATGAATATATTAAGGGGAGGGTTGAGGGCTGGGATATTTGGTTAACAGCGACAAGGTGAAGACATGAATATATTAAGGGGAGGGTTGAGGGCTGGGACCGTGGTTGACAGCTACAAGGTGAAGACATGAATATATAAGGGGAGGGTTGAGGGCTGGGACCGTGGTTGACAGCGACAACTGAAGACATGAATATATTAAGGGGAGGGTTGAGGGCTGGGACCGTGGTTGACAGCGACAAGGTGAAGACATGAATATATTAAGGGGAGGGTTGAGGGCTGGGACCGTGGTTGACAGCGACAAGGTGAAGACATGAATATATTAAGGGGAGGGTTGAGGGCTGGGACCGTGGTTGACAGCGACAACGTGAAGACATGAATATATTAAGGGGAGAGTTGAGGGCTGGGATATTTGGTTAACAGCGACAATGTGAAGACATGAATATATTAAGGGGAGGGTTGAGGGCTGGGACCGTGGTTGGCAGTTACAAGGTGAAGACATGAATATATTAAGGGGAGGGTTGGGCTGGGACCGTGGTTGACAGCGACAAGGTGAAGACATGAATATATTAAGGAGAGGGTTGAGGGCTGGGACCGTGGTTGACAGCGACAAGGTGAAGACATGAATATATTAAGGGGAGGGTTGAGGGCTGGGACCGTGGTTGACAGCGACAACAACGTGAAGACATGAATATATTAAGGGGAGGGTTGAGGGCTGGGACCGTTGGTTAACAGCGACAATGTGAAGACATGAATATATTAAGGGGAGGGTTGAGGGCTGGGACCGTGGTTGACAGCGACAAGGTGAAGACATGAATATATTAAGGGGAGGGTTGAGGGCTGGGACCGTGGTTGACAGCGACAAGGTGAAGACATGAATATATTAAGGGGAGGGTTGAGGGCTGGGACCGTGGTTGACAGCGACAACGTGAAGACATGAATATATTAAGGGGGCGTTGAGGGCTGGGACCGTGGTTGACAGCGAGAAGGTAATTACATGAATATATTGAGGGGAGGGTTGGACAAGGTAAGGACATGTGCATATTATGGGGAGGCGATTGAGGGCTGGGATATTTGGTTGACTTTGACAAGGTAAGGACGCCAGCACAGTACAGGGCAGGGTTGAGGGTCGGGATATTTGGTTGACAGTGACAAGGTATGGACATGTACATAGTACAGTTGAGCGTTGAGGGCTGGGATATTTGGTTGACAGTGACGAAATATGGTCGTGTACACACTACAGGTGGGGGTTTGGGGTCGGGGGCTGAGGGCTGGGATGTTTGGTTGACGGATACATTTTTGTCAAAGCTTCAAACACATAACATCTAAAGTTTTCTCGACAAACCAAACTTAAACAGAACATCTATCTCCAGCTTCATTTACATATATTTGTTCAGAGGATCAAATCACACAGTCGTGTAAAGTATTTAGTCACGTTTTCAGACCCTGTCATCAAATATTTAGCATCATGCAAATGTAAACAGTATGTTTCTAGGTCTATTTCAAGTTAAGGTGACCCGAAATGTTATTTTTCGATCAATTTAACTTTTCGGCACTTGACCTAAGTGTAACGTTTACTGTGCTAGCTTTTATCGTTTTATTTGTCTCTGTATGTTTGTCTGCTTTTTTGCATAAAACCTTCACGTTAACAATTTGCAGCTGAAGTTCTACAAGTGTGTTCCTCCTGAGTATGTCAGCAAGTAAGGCACACAAAGCAGAGGAAAGAGCACGGCAGTTGAGCAGCCTCGTTTCACATCATTCGTTTTTGTTTTATTGAGAGGCAGCTGGATATAGTGTATAGTTTGTCGACGCAAATTCAAATCGTCATGTATGTAATCAAAGATTTCTTGATGTATGTGTTCAAAACATTGTATCATGACTTTTTACATGTATGTATTTTTGTAAGGACAATTTAACCAGTGATGTTGCATGTGATTACTTACACGTTGGAATAAATGCTTAAACTTTTGATGTTTTTTTGAGTTGTCGCCAATTAATCAGAGACAAAATAGTTTTACAATCCGGTGAAATACCTGACAAAAGTGTGGAGGCCACTGTTGAGTCAAACTGCATAAGCATATGAATTACTTTACAATTCCAAGAATAACTGTACAACTTCATGATATCTACTGGCGTAAAGGTGATCACATCCTGCCTCGGGGCGGTGGGGTAGCCCAGTGTTTAAAGCGTTTGCTCGTTACATGTAAGACCCGGGTTCAATTCCCCACATTTGTACAATGTGTGAAGATCATTTCAGGTGTCCCCCATTTCAGGTGTAAGACGGCGAACAGCTAAAATCACTCACTCATCCTGTTCTACCGAGGCATGGGGAACATATGATACAACTCGAAAGAAGGAATTGCATCCTGTTTAATTTCAGTCACTGATGCGTCAAATTTGGAAATACCCTTTTCAACTTCACCAAGACCTTAAATTTTGTAAAGCATTTGCCCCGTTAACTAAACTATAGATTAAACAATGGCTGTATAAATTGTTTGATCTTTTCAACCGATTGTGTTTTACCCCTTACGCACACCTACAGGTGGTGCTTCGGGGGGTCACCTTGTATGTACGGAGGGTCATATAGTAAGCAATCGCTACCCCCATGACCGTGCCTACCTCCCTCTCCACGTTGGCTACTGAAACTGGCCACCTCAAGTGTCAATATTCAGCTCTTTTGAAGCGCAGACTCCTGGCTTATCAAAGGCTCATCGTTGCTTGTACACATCGCCATTTTGTTTGGCTTCAGATTGTACAAATCAGATGTTGTTTGTAGAAGAATTGTTAGATGCTTGTTTAAACAATTACATTGTTTGGAAAAGAACTCTTTAAAAAGAAATTCTCAGCTTAAGAAACAATTAACCGACATGACACTCTCCGGGTAGTCGAAGAGTAAATGTTTACTTCGAGAATCTCATCACTACTCACACCCATGGCAGGTACCCTTCAGCGCGTGGGACAAGAGACAAAAGGCTGCTGACTTGTTTGATCGGCATTCTAGAAGTTGGTGAGTCAAAAATGAAGCATGCAACTTTATGGATGAAAACTGCTTGATAGAGGTGTAAGAAACTACATAGAAACGTCGCTCTATTCAATAAATAAGAAAATCCTCTTACACACACATTTAAGTGATAAACGATGAAATACTCATTTCATTTATTTATTTGAGATTTTGTTTGCATTAAGTAGGGTTTAAAGGCTTTAAGGACAATTGTTTTGACTAGTTACATATTCTACCGTTTATATGTCCATACACGTATTAGTATCATCCGCGAGTAGGAAGATAGGTGTTTGTAGGAGGATATATTTTTTCCACTTTATATTTTATACTGAATAATGTGTTTTATCTGAAACCTACTTACACCTCAAATTAGTTTCTTAAAATATATCTGCGTGTCCATCAAATCAAGGTGATTAGGTTGATTGTGTGTTATCGTACCCCGATAGCGGGGATCGGTGCTCACAGTTTCAATCACTGGATTGACTGGTCCAGATTCGATTAATTACAGGTGCCAGACTATTTGTTGCGCAATGGAAATAAACATGTGCAGAGCTGTCTAATAAATGTAACTGAAAAGCTAATCAACTAAATTTTGAATCCTACCTTTGGCCTGAACTAGGAACTAATAATATAAACGTGAAAACTATTACAAGTGAGAAAACTGGATGATTTATAATCAACTAAACGTGATTCTCTTAAAGTGATTCTAAATAAAGAAAATTAACTGTGAATGAAAACGTTAATTGCCTAACCTCTAAACACTACAATATTCTAATACAAGTACAACAATGTAACGGAAAAGCTACTAATCTAACGCCATTATAATAGCAAAACGAATCAGCCTAATGCCTAAGAACGAATGGGACGAATGGAACGAATGGAATGGGTTAAATTTAACACATATTTATATGTTTGGTAAACAGAAATCGATTCTGAACACCTTGTGGAACACCATTCGTTGATTGCGACAGCAACGGGCGTTGTAAAAACACCCTGTTCATTCTCATAATTAATTTTGTATAACTGGATTTCAGTGGCATTGACAGCAGCAGACATTGTACATAACATCCTGTCCATTCTCGTAATAAAATTTTGTATAACTGGATTTCAGTGGCATTGAGAACCATCCTCTTTACTCCCACCTTGTCATAATGGCTAGCCTCTCTTGCGACACACAGCAAACAACACGCCGAATAACGCTACCTACACGTACATTGCTTTTGCAAATCAACATGGAGGAAGCACTGTATGCTGCCCCGTAGACTTAGAAAAACATGGGTGCACTCGAAGAGTAAATATTTCGTATAGTTTATTCTGCCCATTGCACACAACCTATGATTCACCACTGAACGTGAGCATGCATTGTTAAGAAACAGCATGCCACAACACAGTAGTCTAATCTATTTGCTTAGGACCAGATTAAGATGTCTAGTTCCCGAGCATGCACTGACCTTAACATGACATCTGTGGCACAAAGATGCAGGACAAAACGGGGAAGGGTCATGACTATTTTTATGATAGTTATTTTTAAATTGTATGCTCAGTCTCAACTGCACAAAATCTCCAAAAATATTAATGATTCCCAAAAGCGATTCCCACATTTTTCAGTGTAAATTTGTTCTTTTAATATCTGTATATAAGGAGATATAAATTTCATTCTACAGCACAGACAATAGAAACTATGTTAAAACAATGTTAAAACAATGCTATAATTAGCTGAAACAAAAGCCCATATCCCACATCCCACCCCCCAAAAATCCCACATTTAATGCTACAATGAGCAAAAACAAAGCTACAAATGACCATAAATCCCACATCCTACATTTATCCCACATCCCACATTTTTCCCACATCCCACACTAAAAAAATCCCACATTGCATCCCACATTTTATCCCACATCCAACAAATCCCACATTTAATGCTGGAAGTAATTAGCTATTAATCCCTCATTCAGGTTCATTAAGCTTATTGATACACAATGTCTCCTTCATTAAGAAGTTAATAAATGAGAAAGTTATTCATTATGAATGTTTTTCCACTATATTTGAATTATGGTTTACTCAGTGTGTGTGTGTGTGTGTGTGTGTGTGTGTGTGTGTGTGTGTGTGTGTGTGTGTGTGTGTGTGTGTGTGTGTGTGTGTGTGTGTGTGTGTGACAACGATTAGAATGTTGCTATGAAACATACATAAAAGATTCTTTGTACTGAAAAGAGAGGCGTCCCCGGTCCTAACAATAACCTGTTTGAGAAATGCTGTATCATGATGTTGTACGTGGTTGCATGGATGGAGACTATGTAGTGTTGTCGTGTCGTGTTAATAGATTTCGTTATAAATATAAATTCAAAGGTTATCCATCACCAGACTCCTACCAGACACTTATAGTCGTTATAGTCCTATCACTTGCAGACAGATATCTACATTGGCCATAACATCTACACTGATGCATAATTAAAACGATTGATCAATTAAAACCCATGAGGTTGTTATTCCTATCGTATCATCAGCAAGAAAAAACGCTGCATCATGTTCATGTAAGAGTTTTTCTCATTAACCTATCGCGGCAAACTGCTGACAAGTAGCTTTGCTCCGTAGGACAAAATGGTTAGTGTTGTATCGCTGTCTAAAGAACTGAGATACACAAGACCCCACCCTGCCACGTTTCATCGTTTTCTCATAGAATTGGAGATATACAAGAAATGAATATTCTATAAATTGTGCACAGTAGACACACCTGATACATTAACAATAGCTGAGATTTAGTTGGGAATATTTCATGTGATGGAAGTCCACGTTACATTTAATGCTAAAAAAACTGAGTACCAACTTAAAATCGGAAATAATAATAATAATAATAATAATAATAGTACGCCTCTTCGTGGTGGGCCTAGATAGGGGAATTATATTTCCTGAACTGAACGTACATCACCCAGTTAGGGCTGACCCCCGAAGCTGGGAAATTACTGGGTTACTACAAGCCAAGAAGAATTCAATCTTTCACTTCCGCAGCCCAGTCAGCCTTCTTCCGGTAAAGAGACAAACCATACTGGAGATGGGACTTGACCGAGGGGAAGGCACAGAACCCGGTCAAGAATATCTTGGTCAAACCATCTCAAATCCACACTACTTGATAAGCTGATGATGAGCCTTACCAGCTGATGATGAGCCTTACCAGCCTGACTGTGCCAGTATCACCCGAACCCTCTCTGCTGCATATTATCTTTAATCTGTAAAACATAATAATAATAACGCTTCGGATATTATTTTTGATTACGAAACAGCTTCGAAATTGAAAGCATTATTTATCGACTTTTTTCAAGAAGTTAGAAATTTTAAATCTAAGACACACAACGTCATCACATGTTGTTTGTTGATTAGTTTTCATCGATTGTTTGGAAAACTTACCATTCTGAAATTAGACACTGACCATGATGAGGTATTGGATACAGAACATATAAAAACAGTTGTAGAATATTTGATAAAATCCGATGCTATTGTGGAGGTTCATCGATTCCGCGAAGAATTCAAAGACAGCTTATACAAGGTGAGTGTATTCATTATTTATATAGGGTAGATGTTTCAGTACTCTAGCTCTTTTTGTTTAATCATTTTGTGCACCTTACCTCATCAAAAAGTCTACCATATACAGGTATCCTCGATCAATGTTTTCACTCTTATTGAAATTCGTTATTATCATCATGCATGC